CCCTATAAAAATTGCTTCGTGGTCACTGCAAGCTGTTTGGAGAAAGGTATGGTAAAAAACAATAAAATAAAGTAATATGAAATTCGTATCTTATATGACTTTTCTTGTCTCATCAGATCCAGTATTTAGGACTCCAGGCAGCATACCATGAGGACAGAGCAGCCCAGACGTTCCTGAGAAATGTTATGGCTTTGCCATACATCCCGGCAGACGACATTGAAGAGATGTTCAACCGGCTTCACGAACAGGCAAACCAGAACGATTCCCTGTTAAACCTGCTCCAGTATGTCCGTAAAACCTGGATCTACGCGAATAGATGGGATCCCACCACTTGGTCTGCTTACAGAAGGTTGGTATTTAATGTGAAGCATATTGAAATGAAACAGCTAGTTCTAACATCTGATTTTTCATTGCAGGAATATTCGCACTAACAACGACATTGAGGGATGGCACAACAGAATTAACCAACAAGCCTCAAACAGACATCAGCTCCCATTCTACGAGCTTGTAAAACTACTACACAAGAAAGCCAAGACCGTAGATCTTCAAGTCGAACTTGTTAGCCAGAGAAAATTGACCAGAATTCAACGGAAACAATATTTAGAACTTCAATCGCATATTATTAGGCTCTGGGATCGATTTGACAATGACGAAATCGATGTATATAGATTACTTACTGAATGTTCAACTTTAGCCGTACCTTCCGTGTGTACAAGTGACTGATAGTTATATATCATTATTGAATTTTTTAAATATTTTAATTACTTGCATACTTGAATTTGATCTATGTAAATAAAGGATTATGTTTTCAAACGTTTGTTTGATGGTCCCTAATACGGTTAGACTCGTTACTATTATCTTCAACAAGATCACATTAGTTGAAACATGCCCAAACCTATTCAAGGTAGTGTACGTTTCAAGGCCTTTCAAGATAGTTTCTACTAGCGGATTCAGATTCAGATATTTCATCCTGGCTAATAACTTAAAAAAATAACAACTACAATTTTGGAAATGGCAAAGAAATAGCTGAAAGCTTCATTACCAAGACCCATTACCAACCAGCCCGTCTCAAGTACATAAACAGAACCAAGGCAGATTAAGCGAAAAACAAAATGGCGGCGGTACGTTCACGTTCGTGGTCGGGTTGTGTATACAAATTCAAAAACACTGTTATTTCAAACTGGTAATGCGAACTTCATTTACATAGTATTCTATTCAATAACACTCGCATTCATGCTCAGCTGTAATGAGGTATGGGCAAAAATATTGGTCAGCGGGGTCTCAGCCAAGCTGGGACAGCTTGGCTAGAGCGGTCATTTGGCCTGAGTACGACCCAAACGGGGCGGGCTGGGAGGGCCGTTCACCAAAGTCCGTCTGACCGTAATACTGAGCAGGAAGGAGTGAAATTAACCGATTTCAGCTTTATAACCAATCCCTGCATGTGTTTATTCCCAAAACATGCAAGTAGGGGTTCCTTGGGGATTATAAATACCACATTTCATCTTTGCATATCATTACGAGTGTTATGAATAGTATTCTATTCAATAACACTCGCATTCATGCTCAGCTGTAATGAGGTATGGGCAAAAATATTGGTCAGCGGGGTCTCAGCCAAGCTGGGACAGCTTGGCTAGAGCGGTCATTTGGCCTGAGTACGACCCAAACGGGGCGGGCTGGGAGGGCCGTTCACCAAAGTCCGTCTGACCGTGATACTGAGCAGGAAGGAGTGAAATTAACCGATTTCAG